GGTCGGAGCTGTTGGTGAGTTTCGATGTACAATCCATGTACACAAACATCTCAGGTGAGAAGGCAATAAGAGCCTTAATGGAGATATTGCAGCGAGGAAGAGGATATCCTGGAGGCAGAACGGATACGGAAGGAGTCGTTAACACGACTAATCAACTTGACAGTTATGACAACATATTTCACATTTAACGGCATTATCTATGACCAAATATTTGGACTACTGATAGGATCACCACTCTCACCTCTTTTGGCAAATGTATACATGGACAAGTTGGAAAGGGAATTCGATAAGTAACCACTGCAACCAAAAGTGCTCATGCGATACTTGGATAACTACTTTGCACTTTGGTCACATGGTGAGGAAAATTTAAGTAAATTCCTCAATTTCATTAACCAACTTAATGAAAGAATTATGTTTACAATTGAGGTGTGAATAAGTGGATGGGACATATGAAATGATGTTGAGAGAAAGAGATGCGGCACTAGAAGGTCGAACAAAAAATAGGGACGAGGAGTGATGCCACAACGGTTGAATAGGAAATTGGTCAAGGGGATTGCCTTCACTTGTCAATTTTATAAGTTGTACTTCTGTGCTTACGGTGACGCCTCTCACTGACGATGCCGGCGAAACGTTTGGGAATGTACCTAGCCGATAATCCAATGCTGGACATCGTGAATACTATGGCATAGGACATGGGACTAGGTACGTTCAACAAGGTTTTCCTGACGCTCCGACCAAGTTGCGAAAACAAGGTCGAACCAACACCATAAAGCTAAAGAAGACTGCAACCAAACAGAAGGCCACACCATCTTGGTCTTCATATCTACGATTCAACTTACCTAGTTAATCTATTGTGAAGCTTGGAAAAGCCGAATAGAAAATATTCCCAATTATGTGATTATAAGGAACGAAGGCGTTTAGCTGTAAATGTATTTGGCCGGATCATCAGTTTGAGTGTGACAGTACTTGGCGAAATTATTTCTGATCTTGATCGGAGAAAGGATTTCATCTATCACCCAATAAAAAGTCGGAAGTATGCATGCTCTAGATCTAACAATATCCGTCACAAGGCCTCGGCAAAGAATAAGCGAGATCAAAAGGAAATGAGCTAAGGACTCCCTTTCAAATCGAAGATCCGATCGAGTTTAGTCTCAAAACCTCCAATGAAATGTATATGCAAATCTCAGTGTAACCAATCCACTAATTCTCCCCTGAAAAAATTTTTATCTCCTGAAAAAAATTGAATCCTAATAAATACTCCATTAATGAACTTTTTGCATATAGCAAGGCCATAGGCTAAATAATTGCCAAAAATGTGTGTGGAGTTCGGTCTCGTCGAAAGTCAAGGAAGTAATATTATTGAGGTTTTGGGCAGACGGATAAATGAAGCATCTAGTTAAGCATATAAATTTATGGTGCACTGCCATAAAACCCTGATGACTATATACTTAGCCTTTCTGTCACGTTACAGACACACTCTGAGCCATGTTTGAACAAATTTCGCAAAAACACTATTTTACGAGCTGGGGGTGACAAAGCAAGCCCTATGTTGATTTTCAATATGATATTAAGAAGTACGACTGTAAAGGGTTCCGTTAATTTCGTATATATAAAAGGCGAAAGTAGAATGGCCCCAAAAAATTGTCCTCGTATTTTATCATTGAACTAATTCTGATTTTCAATATGATATTAAGAAGTACGACTGTAAAGGGTTCCGTTAATTTCGTATATATAAAAGGCGAAAGTAGAATGGCCCCAAAAAATTGTCCTCGTATTTTATCATTGAACTAATTCGCTATCTACTCTGCCCATGCAAGATGAAATAGCAAGAAATATTTGTAAACACGTGTGGTGCATGAGTAATAACTTGATTATAACGTGGCACCACGCAAGATTTTAGCAATACCGTTAGATAGAAAGTTTAAAAATAGTCTTGCGTGCTTAGGCCTCAAAATTAAATCCGTTACTAAGCAGGACATCCAAGAAAGCGACTTAATAGTTAACATACTAGTTTTAACAACAAAAATCCCAAACAATTTTTGAAGGCAAAGTATCCACCAAAATGTCATATCAATGGTTTGTTGGTCTTGACTGGTTATTTAAGCAAATGAAACTATTAGTAGTATTTAGTGAATGGACTCGGCTAGATCTTCTGCCCATACGAATGATCATTAGAGGAAAGCAACCAGGATTATCAGACGGACCAATGTATATCAAGATCAGTATAATAAATGACTTAAGCGCTACATTAGTATATTTACTGCAATACTGATATTGAATATGGATGAAAAATTCAAAGAAACTTTGGAAGACTTCTTTGTTTCAAAAGGAGTACTAAAGTACAACCAGTCCATTAAATGTAACATAAAAAGCAGCTCTACTTAAAAGTGTAGATCGTATACAAGATGTAGGAAAGGTCATCTAAAGTCAAGCTTTTAGGAGAAAGCCATATGATGGCAACAGTTTTTCTATATCGTGCCGAATGAGTCTCTAATATGTGGCCATTGGCATCCATACATTTCTTAACAGCTATCTTTAAATCATATTTATTTTGACATTTGTGCTGAATGTAATGCTAGACCGAAAATTAGAGTCATTAAATTTAATCACAAAACTTCCTAAAAAATACCGCAAAACAAAATGGCTAGGAAATTACATTGAAACTTATGCTGAAACTTATCTATAAGCCTAGCAAATATGTAAAATTTCCTAATCTAAAATTCCTAAGATAATGATATTGTATCTAATTCATTCAAATAAACAATGACATCTGATGAACTAAACAGCATGTGCCCTTTAAAAATACTCTAAATGGAACAACCTACAAAATATATGTGGGTCAAGGACAGTATCAACTCGAGAATTGCGCTAAGTATGCTCAACTTCCACCTGCAAATTCCTAAGGATTGAAGGAACCTGAAATTGGTCAGTTCTTACAATAAATTTAAAATTCCCCAAAATCTAATTGATCAAGCAAATTATGAGCTATTCTTATGATTGATAAGTTAAATATCGCTTTAAAATTATCCATAATATTTTGAGACCTCAAATCATGCCCTGTACATAGCTCCTGACGTTAAGCAAAAGAATGTTCAAGCTCTCGAGCAAAAATCTTAAGTGGTATCACCCAGGTAATAGTTTTAACAAGTTTATCCTTAGCTATAGGACTTTTAATTCTTTATGCCAAAGAATATAGGGCTAGATATAAAACGTCTTACCTGGCTAAGGCTAGATCCCAGCTGTGGCAGTCCAAGGCTTGTGAATACTGCTGCAGCATGAATTGTGCATTTCCTAACTGGCTGTAGATTGCAGAAAGCAAGTGTGCATCATCAGTGCCTTCAGCCAACGCTGCCGTAAAGAGACGTACTCCCGTTTGGCATTCCCCAGCTCGGCATGCTTGTTCGGCCGCAAGCGCCAGCTCGAGACATGAATTACGTGACACTTGACTCCGCGTGGGCTCAGAACGTCGGGAGCCGGCAAATGAACCGGGCCCGATAGGAGGATTAGCCAAGAGTCCTGCTGAAACTCCTATATCCAATACAATAAGTGCACAGCCATAAAAAAGCCCGTTAAAGTAAGATAGAAAGTATGAATGCCAAGATGGTGTGGCCTTTGGTATGGTCTCCTTTCGTTGTATAGAAATTATTTTACCTTGTTTTCGCAGCCTGCTCATATTGGCAGAAAGACCTAGAGCAGCGCATCTTGTCTGGAGTCCATAGAAAGGATGGCAATTTCTAGTCAGACCATGGACTTGGTACATTCACAGACGTTTCGCCGTCATCGTCAGTGGGCCTTGCCAGCCGTAACAACATACCACAACTCAGCAGAGACAATGCGAAATCTCTGGGAATGTACCAAGTCAGCGGCCCAACTCTGGAAATTAAAGTGTATACTATGGACTCTGGACAAGGCGCATTCTAGGTCTTCCTGCCAATATGGCCCAGTTGATAAGGCAAGATCAAACTACTTATGTGAATACACGAAGAGAAACTTAATTTCGATGAATCTCCTGAAATAACATTGTTAGGGAGACCTTCATTTCGTATGAAAGTGCATGAAGAAGAGATTCGTGGGTCGATCTCACCAGATGAGGACGGATGAA